TGAGTTATTGTTTTGTTGGAGGCCTTTTTGCTAAAGGCTTCATTAAAAGCCTCAGCTTTTAATTCAGCTATTGCTGAATCAAGTTGCATCACGGGTGTCACTATAACGAAAAGTCGTGTAGGTTGAAAAACCCAGTACTTTTCTCACAGCCATATATTTAAATCCAGATTAAATGAAGCATATGAGGGATGCATCTGTGATAAATCAGTCTGTACTTGGTCAGTATGAGCTTCTATGTGTTTTGATAAAAATATGCTGTTATGATGTGTTATTTTACATGGTTACAACCTGTAAGGAGAAAAATTAGATGGAAAAGCTAAGTTAATTTGTTTCAAAATAAAAGTATTAAGATATTCTTTACTGTTTCTTTTTTCAGATGTGAAATTCCACAAATAAAAATGGACATTTGGGAGTTAGTTTATTTGGTGTTTTTAAGTACAATTTTACAATTTTTAGAAATATTACCCAGAACTTCTGATAAATCCTAAAAAGAACATGTCTCTTATAAAAATGTAATTATACTGTTAATACTTTCAAGCTGAACTTAGAAAATGCACAGATTGCATCTCACTTTTAACTTGGGATCTAAACTAAATAAACTGTAACTTTTGTATTGGATTAGGTTTGAAGTTTTAGTGTTCCTTATAAATATGTGACTTAACATGCTATTTCTCTTGGTCACCCAGAAGATGTTTAACATGGTTGTTAAACACACAAAATGAGATTTTAATTTATACAATCTATCTTTAAATTGATGTTGTGTGGGAGTACATATTCTCAACTTCACCATTAGCAATTTACAGGGCAACAGACTATGATATGCAAATCCAGAGTTATGACTTGACTAAAGGATCAAGCAGCAGAATCTAAACAGCTATGGAGGCATTTATTTAAAAGAAAAATATTAGCCATAAAGTGAAAACATACAGCAGTATGTATTCTCTGTTTAATTTAAAGTTTGAAACCAATTCCCTTATTGTGATAATACAATATTTCATGATATATAGTGGAGTAACAGAAAAGGACAAGAAGACAGTCAGGATACATATTGAAAGATGATGCAAAAGCAAAAGGCACAGGGTGACATGTCCCTTCATACAGCTGACGATGTCACAGCACTGACCTGAAGGGACTATCTCAATTTATCAGCAATGATTTTTAGTCCACCACCTTGTTATTGTGTTAGGAAATGAGACTGCCTGTTATCCCTGAGTGCAAGCATTGGGTGAAATGATATAAATTATGAACTAAGCTGATCAACCAAGACTTTCACACACAGTGGTTAACCTTGTGTCAGATGATAGTCTGGATGGATTCAAGAAGAGTAATCTACTGAAGACCCCCATAATCTATAATTAAATATTACACTTTGCTGCTTGGTTGATTTTTTTCCCTTCCTTCTTTTTCTCTTTCTTTAACTTCCTTGCCTTTCACATGCCCTTTTTTTTTTGTGGGTTTTTTTTTTTTTTTTTGTTTGTTTTTCTTTTTTTCCCAGGAGCAAGGAATTTCCTTTAAAATATGTCTTTTTTGCCTTAGCTAAAACTTAACCAAATGCAGATGAGCAGTGAATTTCTTCTGGCCCAGAAAAAGGACACGTGTATGCTCTTATGCATCTGTACTGAATTGCTCAGGAGCAACCTCCTGTGTTTCTGTCTGTGCCCATTCTCTATGGGATGGACACAGACAGAAACTGGGCGCCACTGGAAAGATGCTTTTTCTACCTCCTTGCACCCTCCCTTGCAGGTGCTTGTATACATGTGAGATGCCAAACTGATGTCCCTTCCACAGGAAACTGTTCTCTGTGACTTTCTCCAGCAGGAGTCCATACTACAGGCAGCAGCTCTCTTCAACATGGATCACCCTTCTGAAAGGCTCAGTCCTTTAGGCACAGCCGGCTCCAGATCAGACCCCTCATGGGATGGCAATTCCTGCCAGGAAACTCGCTCCAGCATGGAATCCCTTCCCCACGGGTCTGCAGCTCCCCACCAGGAGTTTTCCCACAGGTTGACAGCCTGATGTCCTGAAGTCCTCCCCCTGCTCTGGCATCCCTGGGCTGCTCCAGGGGCTGCAGGAGCTTCACCACGGGCTGAGGGGAAATCTTGGCCCTGCCCCTCCTGCTCCACTGCCCTGGCTGTCTGCAGAGCAGTTCCTCTCACATGCTCTCACACCTCTCTTCTCTGGCTGGACTACATCTGCACAACAACTTCTATTTTTCTTACCCTTAAATACGTTATCACAGAAGTATAACCACCACTTCTGATGGGTTTGGCCTTCCAAACCAGAGTCAGATCCATCCTGGAGCCAGTTGGCACTGGCTCTGCCAGAGATGGAGGGAACTTCCAGCATCTTCTCACAGAAGCCACCCCTGTAGTACCCCCACTAGCAAAACCTGACTGTGCAAATCTGTCGAGATCTGTGGTATTGATGGTTCTGAGATTGTAGAAAGTCTCTGTCTTTCTGCCCTGTTGCCAAAGAAGAAGCCATAATTCGTCTGTGCTGGTTTCAAGGTTGTTTATTCTGTTTATCTCTAACATGTTCTGCTGCCCTGCCGCAGCTCTGTCCTGCAGGGCAGCGTGCGGGGCTCTGCCCCTCAGTGGGATGTTACAAACATTAAATACCAGAAACTACCTGTGCTATATTTACAATAATGTGCCAATATCTATCATCTATGTTGAACAGTGTGTCCCCAGCCTAAACCAATAGAAAAATGCCAACACTACAGTGAAACATGGAGGGCATGAAGAAGGAGGAAAAGGACAAGACACACCCAATTCCTCCATCTTGTCCCCTCTGAACCCCTACTCTAGAAACCAAAAATTTTACTTTTGCACCCGTGTCACACTTAATTATTACTCATATCAAACACTCAGAGCTTGTAATTCATCCTGTAAGATTGGAAACTCTTTTCCATGGACAGAGATCACAGACAGTGTCTCTCAGGGCTCTGTACAGGGGGGTTTCTGACCCCTGCCAGGGTCCCAGACCTGCCAGGGCAGCCAGAGGGAAGCCCTGGATTCCCACATGAACCCTCTTAGCAGAGGAGCTTGTCCTGCTTTGCACAATCCTTGAAGGAGAGGCTGGTGACAGCCATGCCCATTGCCTCTGGCAGCTCTCTGCTGCTACAGGTCCCTGAGTGCTGCCTCTGTACTTCAGTGGCAGCATAGGAATCAGGAAAGAGCCTTTAGACAACCCAGGAAAATCCTCAACAAAGGTCTTCTATTCTTAATTGCCAGCTTGCATCTCTATGATTCTGCCTTTGTTTTTAAAATATCAATTATGATTAAAGCCAGACATTTACAAAACCAGAAGGAAAGCACAGCTTCATGGAGTCCACAGCTGCAATGAAAATTCTACAGTCAACATCTTGGAGATTAGTAATTAAGTTTCATGACAACCTGATCTTGACTACAGTCCCTTTCTTCTTGATTCTCATGTGCAGTCTCTTACCCAAGATGCATTTCCCCAAGAAAGGTTGGAAATAAACTTCAAAATATGTTTTTGAGATTTAGTAGTTTGAAGGGAAATATGTTTTTCATTTGGGAGAAAGTTTTTGCAACTGGGTTGCATTGACTTGCAACCGGGCTCCTCGTGTCCAGGGAGGGTGCAGCTGCTGGCACTGGGCATGGGAACAAACGAGTTGGGTCTTCGTTTCAGAAAGCTCGAGAATCCATTTATTCCCCCTGGGGGGGGAGGGATGGGATGGAGAGGAGAGGAAAGACTGGGCAAAGGCAGGATCCTGAGGTTTTTATAGGGTATCATAGGGGTGGGGTCAGGGTTTGGGTCAAGGGACAAGTTATTAGCCACATAAGAGAGGTAAGATCAAATTCCTGTCTCTTAGGAACAGGGGCATTCTACAAAAGTTGAATATTTTTAAAGGTTTTTTTAAAACTGCTTAGTTTTCAAATCTGTTTCACATTAGTTGTTCATAAAAATAACACTCAGAATAACTTTAAAATTCTGGAACTCTTCACTATTTCTGCTGGAGAGAATTCTCTGAGTACACATTTTTGCAAATGATGCAAACTCTGTAATGTGATCATAGAGTGTTCACAAGGACAGAACATTAGTCAGACATGTTTTGTACGAATGATTGAGTGGGGCCAAAGCAGGAAATTTAACATCACTAACATAGATCATTCCACTTGAATCTTTCCTACTGCTTGTCAAACATTATTCTGCAGTTCTGCATCTGTTCCTTTGCATTTCTGCTCCAGACTTTCCTATAAAGGTGTTTTGGGGTTTTCTTAAGGTGGAATTTCCCCTCAGCTGTGTAAGTTTTTTAAAGTAGTAATCTATAAAATGTGAGCACTCATCAGAGCTCTAGATCTGCTTCTAGAACAGCCCTACAAAATAGTGAAGCACACTTGTGGGTTAAAAAGGCAACACCAAGAGGACTATCATGAACAAAGTTCTTTTTTAATAGCGGCAGATACAAACCAAGAAAGCTTCCACTAAAAGCCACTTAAAATGCATTACTGACTTCCTTACAGCAAGCAACCATTGTCATCTGCAGAGGTGAGTACTCTGGATTGTAACACACAGCTGCCCACTCCTCCATCTGCCCATGGTTTGAATACTCCAGTAGCAGCTGTTTAAGAGAGGGAAGTTCTGCTTTAAGGACTAACCACTATTTTTCTGGATTAAAGGAAAAAAAAAAAAAAAAAGAAAAATAAGAAGGAGAAAAACCAAATGTCATCAAAAACAAGGCAGTAGACTGAAGGAAGCAGACACTGTGTGTTTATGGCTGTGTTATAATCTAGGAATGAAAGACTGATTGTGACCTTTTGGTCCCAGAACAGAACTCCATTGAACCCAAACGAGGTTGGGATGAAAATGACCATGCAAGAAAAGCATTTCTGACATTTTACATGGAATATCTGGCAGGTATGAGCTAGGATAACTCCCCCTCCAGCCAAGAACTGGATTTTCATTAATCAGTGTAAAATACAGCATAAGTGAACTAATCTGCTAAATCTAGGAAGGAGTCTGTAATTTGGAACTCTTTTCAATTTCTTTTTTATTGTTTTTAATGCACAATTTCTTTTTCATGACATGCTGGAATTGCTGGATCACAGGCTTCAGCAGAAGTGGTAAAATACAAAGTATTCTGTGAACACACACAGACACAGACACACAGACACACAGACACACATGTATCTATAAGAAGCTCTGTTCACCAACTTAAAAGGGATCTTTTCACTTTTCTTCTAACTTAAATCTTTTACTGCCTGTTTTTTGGCCACTGTTATGTTAAATACCAGGAAAAAGTGAGAGTTATTGGATGAAGGATAATGGACTGAAGCTTAGTTGTGGTAACTACATTTAGTCTCTTTCAAATGAATGGGAGATGTGTTGGTGAACAGTCATGACCTTTATCAGAGATACCCTGCAGGCAGAAAGAGGAAAAGTAAATGATGATACAATTTGTGAGAGACATCATAGTGCAGTGCTTTGAAAACAACTGAAAAAAGGAGAATTTTGAAGCAAGAAGATTCTGACCATGTCTTTCTGTAGTGAGGAACTTATAAGTAATTTTGGTCAAAGGGAAAGTTTGGTGGGGTATTTTTTGTTTTAAGCCTATGAAACTAGCAAAAAAATTGCAATTAATTTCATACCCATCACTTCCATAACTTCAAATTTCTTGGCACTTGTCCTGAAATACTCTAAAGGAAATGCTATAATGTATTATACAGGATTAAGGGGTCCCTGAGCTGTGATAATTTAACTTTCCCCCTAGGTATAGTTGAGTAAATTAACTGATTCTTTTCCCCTTTATATGTTCCCCAAACACAAATATTTATGTCCCTGTCTGACCCAAACTCTGTCCCTTTTATGATTGCTTTCAAGAATCCTGCTGGGCCCAGGTCTGGATGCAGAAATTTAAGGGATATTTGTTTTCTAATACACAGTTGTTGTAATGTATTGTGCCCAGATCATCAACACTTTCAGCATCATTGGCAGTGTGAACCTGAGTGGCTTTGTACCCAATCTAGAATGAATTTTCCTTGGTTTAATTTATGTATTTATTTATATTTTTCAATATTTATATTGAAAAAAAATTTTGGTGAAAAAAAAATCATCAAAATCCAGGCATTTGAAAATAAGCTGACCAAATTGATTTAAATTAAACTGATATCTTCTATTCTTGCTTTTCTAGATGTGGTGAACTAGTAGCAATTCATCCTCCAGTCTTGAATCCCAGAGAAATTAAATTTAACCTTAAACTCTGCTTTATAGCCAAACTTAAGTTTGACTTAAATTCATGAAGTGTTACTAAGGTAATGTTGCAGCTTCTCACTTAATTGCAGAGAATAATTGAATGCATGTCCCATAATAGAAAAACTGTAGTATGCAGTTTTAATTAAAAAAATTCTCATGAATTTAAATTAAGCATACTGCATTTAATTAATTGACTTGAATTGAAAAGCTCATCTCTTGAACTATTGCTTGGAACAGCAATTAACACATTTGTGCAGCCACTAGTGTGAGTAAGTGCTACTTCAGAAGTGAAGGTCTAAGAGTTGCCCTTACACATGTCTCTTAAACATCTCAAGCATGGCAGCATTTCAAGTATATATAAATATATATATGTGTGTGTGTGTGTGTGTGTGTGTGTGTGTGTGTGTGTGTGTGTGTGCTTGTACACACACATGCTTATATATATATAAAAATCAGAATGACATTCACATAATCTGTCAATGTAATGAGGAGAGGTCTCATGTTGCTTTGAGCAAAGTGTACACATGTGCTACCCGCTTTGGGTATAATTTTGATTGGTAGTTATCAACAACAAATCTTTTGATCTCTATTTTAACTTTTCTTCTGAAGTATCATAATGCCTAAGGCTTTCTCCCCTGCCTGTTCTCCATCTCTCTCTCTCCAGGGAACACCTGCCAATTCTTTATCCCTCTTGGCAGAACTAGACTCTTAGTCAGAATGAAATGTTTTCCCACTGTTTTCCACAACAAAGTACCTGAGTTTTCAAGAAGTCTAGCCCATATTGTACTTCCTCCCCAAGTTTCTAAATATTTCTGTCTTCAAGTAATTTATCATAATTTCCTTACAAGAAAATTAGGCATTGCTCTGTTCTCCAACAAACTTCAGTTAATGGTGTCTTTGTAATACTCAGGCACCAGAGTGGCAATGTCATACAACAAAGCAAGCCCTGTTCTTGAGACACACCACCTTTTAGAGTCTTCAGGGAACTCAGAAGATTCCCTGTTGTCTATATGCAGATACTGCTTTAAATATTCTGGCAATCAGGCAGCACAACTTGAAGGACTTAATTAGTTTATGCAAAAATACAAGGTCAACCCAAGTCCTAAACATTTAGTGATGCAATTGTTGGTTAATATGCAAGGTTTCTTCAAAATATAAAGCCATAATGGGCCTTTTGATCTACTAGTGCTTAGTATTTTGGTATAAATATTTGTATTATTGGAACTGATACCAACTACATCAGTGTCCTGGAAGTAACATGCACATGCTCTGAAAGGCTACATTAAAGAGACCAACAGATTCTAGATTGGTCATGATTCACTAATTCAGATAATTGTCCATTCCTGGTTTCTGTGCCTGACTCTACAAAAGAAACCCTAACCTCCTGTAAAACCCACGGGAACCCTGACTGGAGAATCATTGTTCTGTTTTACTCCAACATAAGATTTAGGAGTTAATCAACTGATCTGTCAGGGAGGCGATATAAAATGAGACAAAGCATTTTTTTCCATATAGTAAAAACTGACAAATTTTTTAAGAGCCAATGATCAGTGGACCACAATTGAATTAAGATCCAGGAAGAGCAAGTAGAGGGTAAGAGTATCCAGCAAGCAAAACAATATTGTCACTCTTTTCTGCTTTTTGTTTTGCAAGTCCAAAGAAGTACTTCACCTGAACTCTTAGGCACCTAGTGTTATTGTGGCTGCTGTTTTCCAAGTGCACAACTGCAAAGGTGGGCATCATGAGCTAGTACGGACTGGGACAAAATAAAGATAATCAGCACCAGTGTCTTTTCCTTCCCTTCAACAGCAGCTCTTTGAGCCATTTACTGTCACTTAGGGAGCTCTACTCACTTCACTGTGTCTCAGGACAGAAATTTGCTCAACTTTTTTCCCTCCAAAGACTCTGAATCATACAACTTTTTCTCCTGTAATACTCTTAAATTATTTTTCTGTCTGGTCTAAAGGAAGAACTCACTTCATTTCAGTCCATAACAAAGTTTCCTTGATAGAATTTCACTTTAATTTGTACATGCTTAACCTTTGCAGGGTACTTAACTCTATACATGTAGGTAGCTTCAATGCACTCAGGGAGGCAAATCTAACTGTCCAGGCCTTGCCACGATTTCCCTCCCTCTGCTATATTATTTAAGTATTTTGCATATTTTCAGATCACATCTTGCTGTCAAGTGTCCACTGTCAGCCATCATTGCAGAGGAGCTACAAGAGGTTAAACCAATAATTCACTCTGGAAATGTGAAGAACTTCAGGTTGTTAAATATGAACCCGTTCGTATGGCAGCTGGTGTGTGGTCCTTCCATTCCAAGCTGTCCTTATTTGGAAATTTTCAAGACAACTTGGTTTCTTCTATTATTTATGCATAGCTGATTTTGTTTAGTAATAAAAATAAATGAAAACAACTCTCATAAATTTGGAGGTTATGCATTAAAAACTAACCCATTGAATCCAGCTCCCAGAAAACTAAGCTGAAAATGAAACCCACAGTTTGTGTCTTCTTAAAGTATCAGCTGATGGACAATCTTCCACTCTAACTTCCATCTTGTTGCCACAAAAAACATCACACATCATTTCTTATACTTAGTTTATAATCCACATTGCCCTCTTTACAGTTTTTTAAATATTTCCAAGTTTTTTTATGCACTTTCCTCCTCAGATTTATATGTTGATAAATAGAACTTAAGAATAGGAATAGCACAAGTGATTGAAGAATTTGAAAGAAAGGAAAACTGTCAATATATGTTTTATCTTTTCACCCATGTGGTGAGTTTCTTTGTGATGCTTTTAGGACTGATCCATGAAAGTAATGGAGCGATGCAGCTATCCTTAATGGAAACTGCATGTTCACAAAAGCTACAAGCAAATATAACTGAATTCTGGGGTTTGGCTGGGTTTACAATGAGTTGTGTGCATGATCTAGTTCTAGTTGCCAAGATATCACCTGCACCCAGAATCTTGTGCACCTTCTAAACACCTTCCTTCTTCAGGTGCTCCCGGGAATTCCAAACCAACACATCACAGCACCAGGCAGCTCTCAAACACCTCTAGCAGGCTTGAGTCTGATGGATTTCCAGACCAGAGTCTTGCCAGTATTGTGTGTTGTGCACAGTGCTGGAATCGGATGGCTGAAGGACAGAGGTGAGAAAACTGGGAATTGCAGCACACAGGTTCTCTGGTTCCTGTCAGAATTGGAAAGGACAACTTCAGAGTGATTTTCTGGTGACTTTTTTAGGTCTATTCATTACAAGCTTGAAGTTTCTCAGCTGCTTTATAACAGTAAATTTTTGTTCTGCTGCTTTTACCTTTTCCTCAGGCACAACGGCCTGGTCTGCTCTGTTCACTTTGCAGGCCCATTTTAGGTTATTTGTATAACAGTAATACTTTGTAGGTCAGGAGTTAATTTTAGGGATTATAAATCAGAACAAAGGGAGAAATAAAGAGAAAAGGAATCAAACAGAATTGTCAAAGATGAGAAGCAGTAAAAGGAGCAAACTTTTTCTCCGTATCTATAATTGACTGCAGAACAAAGCCAGACTGGTTTTGGTAACCATAGGGTATAACAATCAGGCTTGAGGTTAAACCTATTTTCCCGAGGACAGAGGGACAATCTACCTGAGTGTCACATTTGTAATAGTGAAGTTTTAGAGAAGTGATTAAAGACTAAAAGAGCATTGGAATGTTGTCAATGTATTCCCAGCCAGGCTGAAGGCCAGAGCTGCAGGTGCAAAAAGATTTCCACTACAACAGAGCATTTTAGAAAGGGCAGCACTTTCCCCTAATAGGCTGTTCACATACTGGGTGTTTCTCAGCATCCTCATGCTCTTTTCACTTTGACAAAGATCTAATATAAAAAATTTACTTCTTGACTAATAATTTCAGTAAAGTGGTTTTTGGTTTTTGTTTTTCCAAAGATATTTTAGTTCAATATTAGCAGTTTGCTTGAATTGGTTCTTAACCTCTCTCGGTTTCTACCTCATTGTCCAGGGGTCCATGATAGGCTTCTGTGTTCCTAAATTTAGATGTGTAATCGCATTTCCAAAACTCTTCCTGCTTCACAATGAGGCCAAACAGCCTCCTTCTGTTCTTCCATGCAGGCTTTTGCCCTCTGACTCCTCTTAATAGCTAAACCTTTGCTTCCACTTTCCATCAGAGCTGCTGAAGGAAGCTGGCTAAGAAAAAGAAAACTGCAGACACTACAGCCAAACTAGAGAGTGCTGACTTGGAGCAGATACTAGCAACATAGCTTGTGACAGGCAGCAAACAGGTATAACTTTTCACATGCAGTCACATACACACAGCACAGCAAAGCAGGTTGCTTACCCATGCTACAAAACCAGGTCATTAGAAAGAAGATTAAGGCTAAAAGGGCTCAGAAGGATGTTTACACCTACCTACAGCCATTCTTGCTGGTTCCAGATTCCAGAAGGAATTTTAGGATGTGAATTTTAGGTTCTCAAATGGGTTACAGAGGATGGACTACAGATAGATTGCGGAAACTGGGCACATGTTGTTTTGAGGTAGTAGGGAATGGAGAAAGACACGACAGCTCCAGCTGGGAGTTTATATCTCTCTTCTCCACAGCTTTTCAGGAAATTCTCTGCAGAGAGTCCAAGTGAATAGAAATTACAAGTTAAATTAGGATATAGGTGATGAAAAATTTTAAGTTAAGCTGTATTAGAAATTTTATATCACACGATTTATTGATTGCAATAAATTCAGTTATGGGAGTCATAATATAGAACGTTATCTTTAATCTTCTGAGAATAAAACCCTTCAGTTGCAACTATGACTTAGTGCAACCATTATTCTGCCATGTATCCCTAAAAGAATCTGTTCATCCCTTCCTCCGTGTTGGAGAACAGCATTGTCCACTTCAGCCTCTTGGGGGCTTCACCAGCACAAGCTTCCCACCTTCCACAGTCAGCTTTTTGGTATCTAGCTTCATTCCACGGTGCCAAATCTCTACAAGGGGTGAATCCCTGACATTTCACGAGCTAGGACATATATTCTACAGGTTAGAAGATTCACCAAAAGCAAAGGGAACCCTTTGCTCATACCTGGGCATGTGCCATGAGGGCCTGCTACCTGCACTGGACCCATATTTGTTATTCAGGAAAAAAACCAAAACCCTAAAAAATTAAATAATTCTCTCCAGATAAGGTTTAAACATTCAAGCTCTGATATGTTCCAGTCTTAACAGCTGATGGGTGAAATCTGTGGAGGAGGTAGGCAGCTGAACAGACATGAGCAGTAGTAACTGTATTTTTAAGGCAAATGGTCTGATCCTAATACACTAAACTTAGAATTATTATTGCAGCTTACCAGGGGTTTAAATATGGGTTGTTTATGTCCCATATTTCACCCTTCCAGCTGCTGAATTTTTCTGAGGCTGGCAGGCCTGCAAAGCATTGCTACTAGCTGTTCAGGAAGGGGCAGAGACATGCTAGCCAATTGCTTGCACTCAACAAATGGAAACCCTATGTGGACCACAGAATAACACAGTTTTATGGGGAGTCAAATACTGTTTGAAAAACAAGGTTAGTTGCTTAACCTAGGCCTGAAAGAGAAGGCTTAATCTTCTATTAGCCTGCATCATGAATGATTTCACATCTTCTTAATCTCTTTTGCCATGGACATATTACTCTGAGGAAGATACCTGCACATGCTGCGGTGTAACAGGGAATCTGCTTCTTACCACCTGTTTCTCTAATTTTTTTTGGCTGCATATCCCTGTACAGCATTTGAGGGAGGGGCACCGTGGAGCAGTGCACTGCTCTGTGCGCGTCCCTCCGTCGATCCGCTGTCCCTTCCCCGCACCCTTTCCTGGAGCCTACGCAGCGGGAGCCCAGCAGAGCCTTTGTGTCGCGTTGTCGCACACCGCTCGTCTGTCCCTGTCGCCTGTCCCCCGTCCTTGCGCGTAGCGCTGGGGAGCCACAAGGTGCGACCCCGCTGCTGCAAACGCGGTGCGACCCCTCAGTGACAGCGCCGGTGGCAGTCCCGGTGACAACCCCGGTTACAGCCCCGGTGGCAGCCCCGGTGACTGTTGCTATCGCGCTGCCGCGGTAGTGTGGAGGAAGGGATTTAGAAAGGCCTTGGGAATTGGAAACTGAGGAAAAGATACATTTAGGTATGAGGAAAAGATACATTTATGTATGCCCCATTGTTTCGGGAAAGTTTCGCTTCAGCATCTTTATGTAAACCCCCTTCTCCCCACCCCTGAGCAGTTCCCATTGGACCTGACCCATGGGGAGGTTCTGATGAGCCCATGCTGAGCACTGTCTCTATTGTTTAGACCTTATCTCTTAATTTTGCTGTATAAAACTGTATCTGGGCAGTACCCCAGGGTCTTTTGTCCCTGCAACTGTTCAGGCAATACAATCTTTCTGGACTGCATACAACTGACCTCTCTTCGTCTCTTTATCTCGAGTCCTTGCGGCGACTGAGGCGCACCGCCGCTCGGACCGTGCAAACCCAGCCGCTGCCTGGTGAGCCCAGTGCAGCGGGACCGCGGCAAACCCCAGTCCCCTGAGGGGACAGCTAGCCGGAGGGGTCCCGGGGGGCCGGGGAGGGACGGGGGACAGCCGCAAGTGACCCCCGAAAGTCGCAGGTGACAGCCCCGGTGACAGCCCCAATGGCAGCCCCGATGGCAGCCCCGGTGACAGCCCCGGTGGCAGCCCCGATGGCAGCCCCGATGGCAGCCCCGATGGCAGCCCCGATGACAGCCCCGATGACAGCCCCGATGGCAGCCCCGGTGGCAGCGCCGGTGGCGCCGTCCCGCGCTGCCCCGTCCGCACCTGCGGACGCCGCCCGCGCCCCCGGCCCCGCGGGGCCGCGCCGCCCGCCCGTGCCGCGGCGCTCCCCGGCCTCCCCGCCCACCGTCTTCTCCCCTCCCAGACAGGCACGGCCGAGGCAAAGCGGCGGGCGGGCGGCTGCCTCCGCCTCCCTCCCTTCTCCTCAGATGCCCTTTGCAGGGTTTATTATTACAGTTCGTGGCTGCGCTCTGCCTTCTCCTCTCCCCGCCGCTCCCTCCGCGCTGCGCAGCGCGCTGGCCGCGCTCCCCGCCCGGGCTGGCCGCCGCCCAGCGGTGCGGGATCCCCGCGGCCCGGAGCCAGCGCGCCCCGCTGCCCGCACCGCCGCCCCGCTGCCCGCCCCGCTGCCTGCACCATCGCCCCGCACCATCGCTCCGCACCATCGCCCCGCACCGCCGCCCCGCTCCCCGCAGCCGGCGCTGCCCCAGCGGGCCCGGCCGGCGGGGCGGGCGCTGCCCTGGGGCTCCCAGACAGCGGGGGGAACGCGGGGCTGCGGATTATTGCAGACTAAGCAGTCTGGCGCTGCAGCATCGTGCGGGGGGAGGCGGGCGGGCAGGGGTAGTGTGTGCGTGCGTGTGTGTGTGTGTGTGTGTGTGTGTGTGTGTGTGTAAAGGGGGCATGGAGCTGGCAGTTGGCCAGCTACCATCAGAATTAGCTCATTGTTCAATATAACCAGCGCTGGCAAGCAAAACCCAGCCGGGAGAGGGAACGGGCGGAGGGAGGGGGGGGGAGGGGGGCGGGGGTGAGAGAGAGAGACTTTCCCCCAGCCACCCCCACCCCTTTTTTTCTTTTTTTTTTTTCTCCGAGGCTGCACTTTGGAAGAGGTGCAGTCATTCTTACCCACACCCCCTACCCTCTCTCCACTCCCCCAACTATAAATTCCCTTCTGTAGCATGCTGCCCTTTTGTAATCCACATTTGTGTTTCAGATCATGTAGAAAGGACAGAAAGTGAGCAGGGAGCGGGGGCTTTTGTCTGTAAGTATATGCAATTCCAATCCACAGAATTTTATTTTTTTTTAGTTAATCCCCTTTCTCTCCCTCCCTCTTCCCCCCTTTCTGCTTTCTTCTCTCTGTGTTTCTCTGTTTCTTTTCATTTCTTTGTGATTTCTTTCTGTCCTTAGCCGGACTTTGCTGCAGCTTGGTTTTCCCCTCTCGGTGCACATTTCCAAACAGGCTGTTTTAAGGAAAATGAGAAAACGTGCAGTATATATGTCTAACTCTTTGTCTTTGTGCTTTAAGGCTGGATTTCTAGGCTGAGGATTTTTCTGTACACATACAAGGGGAGATGAAAAGTGATTTTCTAAAATATTTTCCTTTTTCTGGGTTTTGCACTCCGCAAACACCAAAATGCATTTTTGAACCTAATGCACTTGGCTTTGTTAGCATGCGTGCAAGGCTCTAGGACAGGTTTATCGTCTCCTTTCTTCTCCCTTGTAAAACGAATCTCCCTCTTCTCCGCCCTGACACTGGATTCCTCTCAGGCTGCTGGGGTTTATTTTTAGAAAGCAGTCATTCTTGCAACAGCCTTCTGCATTTTTGCATGTGCAGCAGTTAAATTTTGGGTGGTTCTTTTGAGAAAAAAATAACAAAAACAAAACAACAAAGCCAAAACAAACCATGTTTTGCTGAACATGTACTTTTTTCAAACATTTCTGTGTATATTTATGGATATATGCATTTTCAGTTTTAAATCCTTTATATGTGTGTGTGTATTTGTGTAAACATATGACTCATGCCTAATTATATTTCATACATACATGCTATAGGTAAGAAATATGTAATCAATAGAAGAGAACTTTTAATTTTTGTTTCTATAAGAAAGCTGATAAAGGAGATATGCTACAAATTCAGCCCATTAAGAGCATGATAATTTAAGGTAAATGAGGTAGGACCTACTCTTCTTTTTTTTTTTTTTTTTTTCTCTCCCTGTTTAAAATAGGGGGTGTGTGTGGAATAGAGAGAGGGAGAGAACTGGAGGTTATGTAATGCAGTGCCATTTCCAAAAATACCTACTCTCTGGGCTGTTACATTGTGTTATACTGGTTCCTTGATTGCAAAAACCCACACTTAGTAGTATGCCTGGGAACAATGGACCACAAATTACAGTAAACATAGACTGACAGGTTTTTGTCCTCTTGACTGATTTCTACCTGTGTTAACCATTATGTGTGGGGCTCTTCAGAAATATACCTAGGGCTAAGAATAGCATAGGGTTCTGCAAATCCAGGTACCAGGGATTCCTTTGTCCTATATTTAAACCTACAGACCACTGAAGTGCAGAGATACGTGATATATAAGCATATGTGTGGTTAGAATAATTTGCATTACTTTAATCTTAACCACTGAAGCTTATATTTGGTTCACACACTGTTAGACTGGCAAATAAATATCATTTAACTATTGTGACAGTTGGAATTACTTTTTTTTTCCATTTTTAATTTTTTAAAAATTGTTTTCAGATTGTTCTCCTTGTGCTACTTGAGAGAAACTGCAATCCCAAGACTTAACAGAACCTAAAAATGGTAAGAATTAGTTGCTTTAGCAGGGTATCAATCATTTTTGGTGTCAATACAAATCTTATTTCCCTCTTCCCAATATTCATTTATAAATAGGACCTTTATATGACATAGTTTTTGAGGCTATGAGGACTTGCCATACAATAACTGATGTACTCTGAAAAGCTCCTTATGCTGGATCTTTTATTTTCTTGCATTTTTCGAATAAAAATCTGAAATCTGTCTCTGTGCAGTAAGGCTTATTTAATTGAAACAAGAAATATGTAAATTATTGTGAAAAATACACATCATAACACATGTAGCAATACATGCAGACAAAACAATATCCAGTAAGGCCAACCCTGACATCTTTCTCCCAAAACGAAGAAATAGGTCATTGCACTTCTAAGTGAAAAAGATTTAATGTCAGTCTGTCAGGGAAGTACATAAGGTGCAACCTAAATTTTCTTACTAGGTTAACCTTCTGTAAACACTACCATTCTTTGTGACATAGATCTGTTCTAGAAAAAAATGTTTAGGCCTCAAACCTGGCTGAACTTACAGGCACTTGTTTGGAATGTGTTTAATGAACAGCAACCTCTTTCCTTCAGTGCTAATTGTGTTTCTATTTTTATTTATTAAAGCAAATTTTTTATATTCTGAGATACCACTGCTAACAAACTCCTGATTTTAAGGATATGCATGTAAAAATGGTATTCTCTGAGAAGGACTGTCTCAGACTCAGGAGAACAAAGGTAACAGTATTTTTTAGAAAAAGTGCTCAAAGTAGACAGATTTTGTTCAGACAGTTTTTCATTCTTACCTGAAGATGCAGCTGTCTCAGAATCATATCTAAATACATGTACTGGAAAAAATGTAGTATATTTTGGATGCTACAGGATAAAATCATTATCAAACCTCTGTTAATTAGTATTGAGCAATGGTTTAAGTAGCATTGCATAGGGTGTACATCAGCACAGAATATTTTCCCCAGTGTGAGGTTCTGAGGGACATACTCTTATGAAGATTGGGCTAATTGCATTAATGTTATCCTTGTCTGGTTCTTTGGGGTTGTTTAGATACTGGGGAGGAGTGATGATCAAAGAATGATTAAGATAAGCAAATACGTAATGTACTCTATTATAAAGACTTTGTTTTTGTTTTTGGCTCCTTGTTTTATATCATTCCTATCTGCAAAAATAAACTTGCAAATTCTGGAGTTTTAGTCTATTCTGGAACCTACTTTCATCAAAGTGCTTTGCTCATCCGTGTATAAATGAATAGATGGGGGTGGGGAATTAAAAGGGAAATGATTCACTTAAACTGTGAATAGAAATCATGCTAAAATACATATTGTTCACACAACTGTGGAATATTGGATAAGGCAACTGTTTTCCTACCAACACCAAGGTGACAATCAGCCCACATTTTAGATGTTATGCAGGCTGCTATGTGCAATATATGCCTATCTATGGAACAAAAGATTATTTTAAGTTTAGTTAGGCATAAAATAGCCACTGATTTCTACCAGCAGATGGTTCTATAAATCTAGCAAGGTTCCTGTAGTAGTCAATGAAATCAGTTTTATAAAGCCAGTCTCTGGGCCAGAACATAAAATACAACTTAAAGCTATCCAAACACAAAAAATAAAATGTTGTTGCCCACCTGTCTAGTCCCATTGTTTGCTTTGTAGTGTAACATAATTACAAACCTCATTAAACTGTTTTTAAAAGTTCCCCTTCTTTTTCTGTGATAAAAATTAAAATGTACAATTAGGTTGCAAGGATGTTTAAGATTTGATACTTGGCAGAACCCCTTCTCCTACCACCAGCCGTTTTCCCCACTTTTTCACTTCTGGTATTCTAACACTGAATGTAATTCTAACTCAGACCAGTGACACACTTTCCTTGCAGCAGTGGAAACACTTGTCTTTGGCATATTTCTTCTTGTATTAACTGCAAGTATCTCTCTAACCATTCTGATTTACAGAATATACTCTTTGCATATCAACACTTTCTGCACACTGAAATACATGATGATGAAAGTGCTTACTTTGTTTTAATATCACAGTATATGCAAAGGCTCTACCCTGCTCTCACTGGTCAGTTGAAATTTAGCTATTGTGTTTCAGTAGACTGAGATGAAGTTAAAAAATAGGGGGACAGGGCCTTCTCCTTTGCCAGTCTGAAAGTTCATTAATTATTTAGCTAAGCTTACAGTTAAATTTGAAATTACTAGAATAACTTGTTCAGTGAGAACAAATGAGTTCTTGTTTTAACTTCACTGTCTAACTCTCTTAGTTTCTTAATTTTCTTTTCTCATAAAATGTTTCTTAAAAATTTTAAACAGTAAAAGCAAGTTATTTAACACATTAATTTTCAATGCTTCTTCTTCTTTTCCTGGACTTGGAATTAGAATTATCTGATTAATTAATCAGTCTTTCTTCCACCTGTTTAATAATAATATCCTCAATTTTAAGTGCAACAGAAAAGCAGAGTGCACTTTCTATTATTCTTATAATTTTAACTCATGGATGTTTTAAGCCATTTTACACAAGAACATTTGACATTTGAAGGTCTGTCCTTACTTCTGCATAAGGCATTTCCTTTAAGTGTTTACCTGAAGGTGGAAACAGCCTTTTATATTTATGTACAATGTATAAAATCCCGAGGTGACTTAAGTGGTCTTTTATTTTGAAACGCTAGAACTTCTATATACTACCTTAATGGCAAGTGCTAAGTGTTATGAAATGTAAACTAAAATTTTACTTAATATTAACTAAAATTTTAGCTAACAAGGGGGGAACAAGACGTTCTAACTAAAAAAGAATTTTAAAAAAGGAGTTTGTTTTAAACTTCCATCCTTGAAAGGGATCCAATCATTTAAATAAAAGAGCATGTTAAAAAATTGGGAGTTAGGAAGTCTTAATTCCAGTTTTCTGTGATCTCAAAGAAGTCTCCTACCAAAACCAGGAAAGGGTTGGGTTTTGTGTTGTTTGTTTGTTTTTGTCATGGTAAATATTAGTTTTTAAATAAAGAAATCAGATTATCATTTTAGACAGTTAGAGAAGTGATCTGTTCATTTGCTTTCAAAACACTCAGGTGTGTTCTTTTCTCCTTCTTGTGGATTTTAAGTTAAGTTCTGGGAGCTCACAGTGATGGTGCTTAAAGAATTTAAACTAACAGTGCTAATAAATGTGTGTATCAGTCAACAGATCCTTAAAAATTTAATTTTGACTTTTCTGAAAGTAAACAGAAGGTAATGTAGAGCAAATGATTAATTTTCTCCTGACTTACCACAGGGAGATGGCTTTCTTGTCAGCCTTTCTTATTGGTGTGGAGTCTCTGGGCTGGCTGTTGTACAGTGTAGCTGTGTCATCGCAGAGCAAAAAGGCTCTGGAAGTAGGTCATTTGGGCTGGATGCTCCCTGTCCTGCATCCCTGCCTGAACTGCATCACTTCTGAGGTTATTCTGTCATATTTTGTCATTTACAGTCCTTCTGTTTTATAGTCTTACTTGGAGGAAAAGAGAAATGGGGGATGATGACCTTTAGGAGTGAGAAGAGTTGGGAGAGAGGCCCTTCTTTTTTAAGTAAAACGGAAAGAAAAGACAGCCTGCATTTTGTTGAAGAGAAAAGAATCACCATCCCATTTAGTTTTTTGTTTGCATGGGGTTTTTTTCTTCTAGTTTGTAGAGGAATTTATAATATTATTTACTTTAGGTGAAGATATTTATGAAGAAAATTTTGTGTTTAAAATTTCATCCCAGTTTAACCTTTACTAACCTTTTTCCAGGGAGTTACATGCAGGTGTCTTTACACATTCTGTAATTTTCTGTGCCCCTGGGCTAGAACAGCTTTTCATAATTTTAGGATTATTTGTGGAGAATGGAGTCTAGAATTGGTCTGGCAGAGGCACACATTATTTAGAACCTTTTATATGCTCTCAGAGAAAAAAAAAAAAAAAAAAAAAAAAGCAAGGTAATGAAATGAGGCATTTTGTCCAGCCTATTACTAGATGCACACTGGACAAAAGCAGCTCTTGGTCTGGCACGTGAAAACTCAAACCTGGTTGATTATTACCAAGCCTGGTACTTGAACTGGAATTGGAGTCTCCTTTATGGTAAGTCAGAGCCACACAGAACCTGCAGGACTGTCAGATTTGGTCCAGAGAAGTAATTGTGAGGGATGATAGCTAAATAGTTTTGGCCATCTGAACCTGTATATTGTGCTTTTTTAGTATGCTTATGTAATGTGCATGTTATACATTGAGTGTAGTTTGCACTGTGCTACTTGGTTGCTGAAACTCAGGAAGCATTAACGCTTTTCCGACTTACAAAGTTTATCAGCAGAAATACAAACTAGTTTTTGCAATACTTCTGTCAAGCCACCTGTTCAGCTGAGCAGAAAACAAACCTTTACTTGATTATAGGTAGAAAAGCAGAATCTTAAAATAAAGTAATTTTTGCCCAAAGCTATAGATACTGCGGATATTTTAGTGGCAGAGCTCATATGCACATGAAAAGACAAAAGCTTTTAATATACTTGTTTCTACTTAGTCATAAACATACTCTGGGTGCTAAAATTTTGCTACTCTGTCCCAGCATACTTTATCTGAATGGAGCTGTGTTGACACATGGAATGGGAGGTTTATGTAATACAAAGTCCAGGAAAAATCTTTACTAATTTTTTTTTCAGACACTGAAATTTTGGAAAATCAGAAATAAGAATATACATCTAGTAATGCTACAGCTATAACATAGGGTTTTTTTAAGGCTTGGGGTCTAATGCCATCACTAGCAATATTTTCAGTTTTTTTCCTGACTTTGCTATACTGCTGCTTCATAACTGATTTCTGATCACTGTATATGCTGAAGAGATGGGGAAATGAGGACACTTACTAGTTCTAGAACAACTTTATAAACATAATTCAACTGGCATCATTGACTGGGCAGGATATTTTAATAAAATTAGTTTTATCGATTTGTATTTTGGTTTTATTTCAAATATTTATTCACCTCATCAAACCATATTAATTGAGGGCACAATCTTCAAAGGTGCAAAAAATATTCTTTCCAAACATTTAATGTAGAATCATAGTCTGAATCACTGTTTGAGTGTTACATACAATTCTATTTGGACTTCTGGTCTGGCAAATTCACAATAGCAATACTGAATGAATCCTTGTGTACATGTTGCTGGGAGGATTCCTGATGTTTTCTTCTACAAACACTGTATTAAAATATACAAACAAACAAGTAAAAACAACCCACCCTCAGAATAAATAGGATTTTCTCATCCTGCAGAAAGAAGTGTCTCTGGAAGAATTTTGTAAACACAAAATTAACCTGTTTATCTCTACCAGCTTGGCACACTTAGGTGGAAGCAAGTTAGAAAAAGTTCTAAGAAATTTGTACCTCCTCGCTGGAGGTGGTGAAAACCTTGGCTTTAATACACACATTGTCAGAAAGAACTCCTGGCCTCTTCCAGCACCGATGTTTAGAAGGCACATATTGACACCTCAGAGCTACCTTAGAAAGGTCAAGTTGGAGAGGAAAAAATCTTATTTGCTTTAAAATGACTGCATATCTGTGATAAATCTCTATCACAAAAGAGTATGAGTTTACACAGCTCCTTAGATGAGACCCAGAACCCAGAGATGTTTTATTACTTTTAGCCCCCAGAACATCATGATGCATTTTGTGCTTTTGTGTCTGGAGTAGCACTTAGCCGCATTCACTATCTGCCTAGTAGAGGCTGGTAATAAGGAGGCTTCACAGTGTTTTCAAGCACTTGTTAATAATCAGCTGCCCTCATCACATTTCTTTTATTGAGGTAAGTAAGGAATGGCTCTACAAGGTGGTTCTCTCCCATTTCCAAGAGTATGGCTGGGGCTTTTTAATACTTGCCTACAAAATGCTGCTTGGGGAAGGGCTGGCACCTCCTGAGGGGAAAGAAGGGCTCTGCATTTGGGGAACAGCATCCCTGGTTGAATTTCTGCTCATCCTTTTGGTATGTGGGAGAAAAACTCTTGTAGTCCAAAGCAGTCTCTTGAGCCTTCTGTAAGTTACAGCATTCAGGCCATTATTTAGAATAGGAAATTTTAAGACATAAACACTTATTTTTGGAGACTGGTGTATACCCCAAGAGTGTGTACTTTTGTACCCCAAGAGTGGAGGGCCCGATCTGAGGGCGCACACAGGAAAACTGTTATTCTGGTCTACCTCTGTTCCTATTCTTAACAATTCGCTACTGGCCACTGTTCTTGCTGGATTTTCCATTAAGATCAAAACTCAATAAAATGAGGACACTGGACTAAATAGACATTTTGGTCAGCCTCTGACAATGCTCCTTTTCTTCCTCCTCTGTAGCTCAAGTAATTTGTCCATGTTATGTATGAAACTACTGAAAAACTACTATGCATCCTTTGCATATTTTCAGAATTTTTGTTGCCAATTTTTGTTGTGTATCCACCTGAGTTTATACCAAGAGAATTGCTTACGCACCTTGTACAGCAGTTACCATTAGGTGTAGGTGCAAATACTAATTAAGCTTTACCTTATTGTTTTTGAGGAGCAAATTACAAACTCCTATATGATTAACTGAGAACTAGAGTATTATTTCAATTCTCAGCCTTGTTGTTGCTGTTTTTCTGTGTGTTGCATGTTAAGTAAAATAAAACAAAAATTACTGTGGTACAGAGGCAAACAAAATAAATATGTGGGGTTGTACTGGGTTCTGAGTTAGGTTTTCTGGATGGTTGATTTGCTTATTTTGATTTCTAGGATGTTTTGCAGTTTTGGAGAGCATAGACAGAAATTTACTGGAGGAACAAAGTCATTCACAGCCATTTTATTGCTTGATGGAACTTTCCACATAATGTACACTTGATTTTTATTTTCTCTGAAATAAATGTACTCTTTCTCTTTCACAGAGTGCAATACTCTGGTAATAGTTTACTCTTAGTAAAATTCATTAATTCAGTAAGAAGTTGGAGGACCACTTATGACCGTGTTCACAATGTACTGCTTAGGTTTTTTTTCTCTTAGTCTTTGTATGCATGGTAAATATTAACAATGTTTTGCAATGATTTTTGTGTATTAACAAAGTAAAAAAGCAGCAGAATACTTGTAGCACACAAGCGGGATTGATCCTAAATGCTGCAGAAAAGTGAAAATTGACCTCTCTTCCTAAAAATTGCATCACATTCAGTTGGTGTGGAGTGGATTCCTCCCCAGGGAAAGTTAGAAAGTGTTTTCTAGAACTAAGCTCATTCAATCACATATGTTAGAATACAGCTGAAGTTTCTGTAGAGGGGTTCTTATTGGATAAAGAATTGGGCAGAAGTCTTATTTGTAAATACACATATAAATCATGCAACCTGTATATGGATGAGGACAGGAAGGAGTCCCTTGAAGAAGCTGATACAGATAAGCCAGGGTAGGAGACTGCATAGGAGCAGATGCTTCTGTGTAACCTCAAGAATAGATACTTTTAAAAACAACAAAGGAAACAACAGATGATGATGGGTTTGTAGGAGAAGCTTTTCAAGGTCACTTACTTATGCTGTGTAGGGAAGGAGCAAATGACATCCTATTCTGTGAAATTGACAGAAATTGCAGCAGAGATGCAAAAGAACTGCTAAAATCCCTAAATACCTGATAAATAAACTTTGTAATTCATTTGCAGTGTGGAGAGGAAGATGCAAGGAAAAGCATACTTGTCTCATTTAGGCCTTTTCATCTCTATGTGGTTGTGAGTTTGAGTCATCAGATGGGGAGGAATAAAAAGCAGCAGTAATATCTTCCCCATGAAAAGGCAAAGACATCAAAAGATGCTGATGCAGAGAAGTCAAAGGCAAATTCAGGTGTACAGCTGTCCTGCCATGTTCTGCTGATATACTGCCAAGTATTAATTATCATTGCAATGGCAGATAAAGTCTCACAAAGGTGTGCCACTTGGAGCAATCCCAGCTGCAGAATCATGATGTAACTCTTCATCCGTTCTCTCAAACCATTTATCTAACCTTTACTTTGTGGGACTAACCAAGTGAAAGAAATGTAAATTATTGGTTTTCCCCACTGTTTTTTTGATGTTCATGGCACTGATGTGAAAACCAGGATGACAAAAAATCTGCTGCCCTGACAGGATACTGAAATCATGAAGTCAAGTTGTTTGGGATGACTGTCACTGCACCTCAAGCAGAGGCTCAGACTCGTGATGCAGAGACACTCAAAAATGCAAAAAAAATTCACAAAATTGTTAAGCCTCACATCTGTTAAATCACATATTCACAGCATTTTTTAATTATTAAGTTAAGGTGATGGAAGTTGCACTTTAACTTGGTCAAGTTTGGTTTCTGCTGTTTCCATAGGGATGTCTTCCTCAGTAAGCCTGTTCCAGAGTTAGGCTATCACAACAGCAGCCTCCTGTTTCATCATGAGTACAACTTCCTAAATATAACAAAGGCTCCTCAAAACTTTAAGGACTCACTGAAATAAGGAGTAATGATGAGTACTCTTGATGTAGCTTTGCTCCTCTCCAGAAGATCTAGAAAATAAAAGCTGTGATTGATAGAATACTTCTGTCCAACTAAAATCTTAAAAAGCAGCATCTGTTCAGCTCACAGTTGCTATATGCATTAAATCTTGTGTGCTAGGTTAGGAACACAGTGGATATTTGTATTTTGTACTTTCATAAATTTCCCCTCACAGTTTCAAAAATAAATTACTGAGGATGGGAGCGTTAGTTTACTCCTTGCACTGAAGCAAAGGCTTTGATCCTTGCACAAGCTTTCCCTCCAGTTTGGTTTAAAAAGAATTAGTGAGTTTTTCATTCACAAAATTATTTATTTAGTGTTTAAGCAGTGGCACAGTAAAATTTTTTATGCATTTGGATTGTGATTGTAGGATGTTGTTTAGAAAGAAGCTGTTTTACTGCAGTGGGAGACATTTGGGGGAATTGAGAAGTACATGGTAGGATGTGCTGTGAAATGTACATCTACAGCTCAAACTAGCTGGCAACTAAGAAATTTTAAAGAAATGTAGGTACAGAAGTGAGAAGCAGCGTTCCTTTTTGGCTATGCAGCACACTCTCGGGAGTAGGGTGGCCTCTCTCCCTTTCTCTGTTCTGGATTAGGCACTCAGTCCTCACAGCTGCACAATGTCATTTTAGTGCTGCAGAGAGAACAAGAATACCTCTTTCTTACCTTCTTCTCCCCACCTCTTATCATTCTACTCCCATGTTCCTCAGCATGTGGCCATCTGTGTCTGTTATTACATTGCTAATCCATATAGTAAATCTTTTTCTTATAATTTTTTTTTTCCTTCTTTAGGTAGGTTACTGCAGAATTACTGGACATGGTCACTTTTTATTTGGAATTAGGATCTACAGTACTTGACATAATTTCCTTTTTGTTTTCATTCCTCCCTGCCTCAAAATTGGTTTATAAGAAAAAGAGGTTATCTGAAGGTGGTTGCTGATTTCCCCAGAGCAGTTGCTCTTCAATAAACTTTTAGTTAAGAAATCAAGAGTGCAGTTGAATACCACTCTACATCCTGAATAAGACGTGATTACAAGAATTCAGTTGTGGTTCACATGGAGAAAAAAAGGGGAAAAAATAGAAAAAATAATTACAAGGATTTTCTCAATTGTTTCTTAATGATAAAAACCTTGGGAATGCTTAGCAGGAATATGCTCATTTTGGTAAGTTTAGCATGCCATAAATCTGGGTTTTTTTGGCTCTTGATGGATTTCTATGTATGTCTGAAAGACGCTCTTAGTGAATTGGAATTAAGAGTGGGCACCAAATAAATTTTAGCATGTTGATGTGACTAATAGAGTATGTTAAGTTCAGCTCTATTAAAATTATTTTGTGTACCTGTTTTAAGGCTGGGCAAAAGATTGTGCTCCCCTACCACTGTTCTTTGAAAAAGCATGTTTTAGTTGAAAAAATCCCCAGAAATTAGAATTTTTAAATGTCAGTAAAACAGAGCTAGAGCAAAAGAGTTTCTCAGACTGTTGGCTAAAGGAATAAAGTAGACTCTACTGGCTTTTAATCCTCCTGGTTTGAAAAAAAACTCAAGCTAAAACAACCCAAAAAATTATCAGTAGTTCTGGAATCTGAGAGATCTGGTGAGCAGACTAGGCATTTATTTGCCTCCACTTTTGCTCTTCTTTAACATTAAATTGCATTATATGTATCTTTTCAGGAGACTGGAGGCTACAAAATGGAAAGCATACTCATAGAGAACCCATAATTCCCAGTTTTGAAGTTGGCCTCAATGTTTAAGGCAGAATTGCATGTTGTTGCATAGCAGTGTCTCAGGTAGCTCTTTTCACATCTGACGGTTCATGTATGAAGCTTCCTGGCTTAACTGTCTAGCTAATGATGATCCAACTGTGAGGCTATCAATGTGAGTCAGCATTATGCAGACTTACAGAAACTGTACTTTTCAATCCCCCCTAAAGCTCAGTAATTCCATTCTGAATCCTGATACTTTGGTTATTTAAACCAAGCCTGCACTTGCATAAAACAGTCACACAGGAAGTACTAAGAAATGAAGATTTTGTGTGTATCAATGGAAGCATTTGTTTAGAAGTGTTTCTTCATGCTAACAGCTGGAATGTTGTAACCTTTACACCCTACTCTGTAATGAAGCATTGCTTTCCTCTCTCATAGCTCATTTTGCATTTATATCAGTACTTTTGAGCTGCTATAACTGAAATAATGTTATATGTGTTTCTCTAATGCCCTAGTTATCAGTATATTTGAACTTCTAAGTAGCTTCTGCATTTATAAAGCACAGCAAAATGTCATGGTTTGTTTTATATCCTTTTTTTTTCCCTCCTTCTGGTGAATTACAGTAAATCTAAAGTGGACTTCTCTACACCAGCATCTTTTTTTTTCCATTCAAGAATCTTTTTCCACTTGGCCAGATTGCAAGCCATTATTCTCCAGCCTATCAGCATTGCTCTCAAGGCATGTACCTAAAGTCCTTTGTCCATTCAGGACTCCGGTACAGTCATAGCAGAACCGTCACTTCATTGGGTCATCAAATAGTCCATGTGATTATTATCTACCAATACGACCTACAGTATTTATTTTTGAAGAAGAAAAAAGGGTATTATTGATTTTTTTTTTTTTTTTAACAGAGAATTACTGTGAAAGATAGCTTGGGAATTATGTGGGGTATTTTTCAGGTGGTGGTAGGTTTTGGGGTTTGGTTTTTTTTTAACCCTAGAGCATAGCTGTGAGCTCATCTTACACTTTACACCTTTTCCCTCCTGCCTCATTCCCAAAATCCACCCACAAACTGCAATTCCTTCAAGTTTTTATGAATTTAATTTGAGGATTCCTTTCTTTTTCATCTAACTTCAGGTGCTTATTTTATTCCTATTAGGTTATTAATAGGGATAACATGGCCTATAATCTAACCTAGATACATCTCAGACTCCATGGAAAATATAGACATTTGTATTCATGATAATGACTAATTCTCTACTCTGATGCTTCTGTGATCCTCCCATATACACTTTGTATACTTTGCCGATGTGAACAGTGTGTCCTGTGGTAGAGCTGAGCTCCTACTGCTATTTCCCACCATGAGTTTTCACACAGAAAGTGTGTCTACACAATAAAATGAAGACATAGTTGCAAAATGAATAACCAGTGATTATAAATAGCAACAGAAAAATCTCAGAGGTTACTTGGTATCTTTCATTCAAGTGTTCAAATATTCAGAGTGAGCATTATCTGAATTCACAGATGCCCTGTGCTACACATTGGTTATTTTATGTCAAACACACACAGAGAGCTGAACTGGCTTGTAGGAGACCTCAGATATGAAAAACAATCTTTGCTTTAATCCATAGAAAGTACTGTTTGTACTGCAGAAAAGCATGGGAGAATGTACAATGCAGGCACTGCCTTGGGCTCTGCATTTTAAATCTCTCCTCTGTGTCTTTCTCCTCTGTATTATAGAAGAGTTCAGTATTTTCTTTTGAGAAGAGGATTTAAATACTCTTCCAATAGTTTCTCCAGGATAGAACTAGTCCAGTTGTGACGGCTAATAGTCAACACACACCTCCCCAGAGACAAAAACTTTTCTTATGTTTCAATATATGCACAGGAGCAAGAGAGAGAGTAAAACTGGCCCAGCACTTACTTAACTGACTAACAAAGTTTTGATTTCCAAAGTGCCTCAAAACACTGACAGTTTGACATCCCAGCATCATGCAGAAAGAGATCAATTCACACAACACCAAGAGCCCAGGAGAAAGACCCAGCAAGAAAATAAATTTAAGAATTTTAGCATTGCACAGAACTTGTTCCGGACCACTTCAGTGTTTCTGAGACTGAGATGGAGAGATATTCTGATCTTCGTCTTGAAGCTGAGAGGCATTATATTGGTATTTATTCACTTTAACCTCTACTGTAGCCAGTGCCCAGCTTTGGATCTTACCCATTTTACATAGAAATATTTTCCTGTGGACATCGTAGGACAGCACCTTAACTGTTAAATCCTGCTGCCAGCTATTTTATTGTATGTGTTTTATAATGTGTTAGAATTTCTTTAGTGTGGAAAGTACAGGTAGCTATCATGGAATTATAATTTTTTTCAATGATCTGACAAAGTTATACATTCTATTTCACCAGTATTTGTGAAAGGATATCAAAGGTGTGGTGCTCTTGTCACTTACAGTCATCAGCCAAGATAATGAACTTCATTAAGCAGCCCTTTTCCAGTGACCTCTGACAGAAGGGTATGGACAGATTTTCTCACAATATCCTCAGCAAGTTTATTAGTACAGACATCCTCTATAAGGAATTTATTAGATATAGTAAAAAATACCCATATTATACTCTTTTAATATATGTATATATATTTTAAGCACCTGTTGAGTGCAGATAAAAATAAAACAATATAGTTGGAATGGTCTAGGGACAGATGTTGTCATGGGTACAAAATATACATACTAAATATTAAACTCTCTGGGCCAGGCTCTACTGACATTGGACTTTGTTTGAGTGATGTGGTCTGTCACAGGAACACCGCTGTATTTAGCGAATCTCTCTTTGCTAATAAAATCTTGTACATATTTATGTCACTACAGGTTTATCAGCCAGGTTCAATGATTTGGATAAGCCAGAATATCTTTCCAACCAGCCGTGGGGATGGGGGATTTCCAAAGGTAAAGTTATTTATGTGATTTCTTTCATACAATAGTTTGCTAGGATGAAAGTTTTTGGGATGAAAATTTAAAATTGAAAACTCAATGGATTTTATTTTACAACCACTTCCAGAAAGTAGGCAGCTCTCCTGATTTCATCACGAGTCTCATGTTGCTCTGTTTTTCTTAAAGCCTTGGCTCCTTGCACCATGCAGTTAACTGAAGAGCTCGGTTTTCATTTTATAATTATGTTTTTAGCCTTCAGGCTTGCAGAAAACATGGACTCTTGCTGGCTGCACACCAGAAGAAAAATATACTAATTTTCAAAGGCTCATATTTCTTAAGCTTGTCTCACAATTTTACAAGCTTGACATCTAAGTTTTGCAGGCTTAATTTTGGCAATGCTTTTCTAGCAATGCAGATGAAAAAGTCCATGATAATGCAGCAGGAGGAGCTGGGTGATATTGCTTATGTTTTGTTAAGTATCTTGCTTGTGGTTACCTGGCTTGAGTGACAAGCATACAAAGCATGGCACTTTTCATGTGAGTTTGACAAGAAGTTCCACATACAAAGGCAGAAGATGTGGCTCACCAGACAGCCTTAATAAGATTTTATTCTATTACCATTACTGGTGTAAAAATGTGAAACTGGACATGAAATTTCAGTAGTGAAATATAACAGATCACTCAGAACCACAGGATGTACATGTTTTATTTTCATATTCCCTTTCAATTACTTGCTCAAGCAGGTAAGTAAAGAAGGGAACACATGGAAAATTTCTTTGATTAAGTTTCAGTTTCAGGGGTTTTTTTGGTTTTTTTTTTTTTTTTTTTTAAGTTACATTTTTTTTCCTCTACAATGGAATTTCTAAAGTTTATAGATGGAGTATTTGCAGCCTCATGTGCCAGCCTGCCAGTTTTTCAACTAGCATATATGGCAGCACTGTGATTCTTAGCATTCACAGTATTCCAAAAGTTCAGCTGAGAAAGCTGGTAGCAGTGCCAGAGCAAGATTAATGTGCTCTGTAGGGTCATACTTACACCAAATGAATTTGCTAATTTTATGAATCAGCTATGTGTTAACTAGATGATTTTTATTCAAAATTTTAAGTTAGAAGCTTTAAGTAAGTTGCCATTCATCATTAAACAAAGTTTCTCCCAAAGCACAGAAATGAAGTTGTGCACTATGTGCAGCATAGCAACAATGCTACATTGTATTGGATTTAGGAATAGCTGTGGGTTTATGCTGTACATAGCTTAAAATAAAAATTTCTCAGAAGGAATAACAGTTTCTCAACTTGCCAAAACATATTATAAATATTTTTTCCCTTTAAAGTTACTGGATTCTTGCTTTTAAAATACAATTTTTTTCCTAGCCTTTATGTACATCTTCAGAAGATATTTGGCATGTGCTGGTACAACAACCAGTTTTTAGAACTAGCTCCAAATTTTATTTCACAATTGACATTCAAAAGCAACTTCAATACTAATTGCACATAGTCCAGCTTCCAGCAGAGAATCATTTTTACCAGAAGCTGTGCATCTTTGGAAATTTTTTCATTTGTACAATAAAATTAATTGGGATAAATTGGTGAAAAAAATGGCAGAAAGTTTTCAGTCCTCCAGATGAGCACTTTTATCTACTCAATGCTAAACAGCTTAAACTTCTGAAAAAATAAAGTAAAATACATAGATTTTAAAAAATTATTATTTGGGATAAAAGTGGGGTTTTTTTTGGTGGTTTTTTGGTGGGTTTTTTTTTTTTTTTTTTTTTTTTTTTTTTAAATTTTATTTTCATGCAACCAGCAAATAGAAAAGGCTTCAGTTAATGACAGTTTATTTCCAGACCTAGAAGGGTCACATGGGACTTTATATCTCATGATTGTATGGCAGGATTTCAGGACTGAGATTGTTTTCACAGCTGAAAAGGAACTGCCCTACACAATGCTTTTGGAAATTTGCCCAGACCTTTGGTCTGTGTGATGTGCCTGTTTGCATGTGTAAGTTTCTAGTATTCCCTTTGTATCCTGCAATGATGCACAAGTAGCAAATATAGTAAAACAAAAATAAGTAAAAATATTATCATGGGGATGAAATTTTCTAGAGTACTGCGAGGAAACACTACTCTATGTTGTACAGTCACTAAAATTAAAATGTTAATTTTTAATTTTGAAATTCTTGCAAAATACCCATATTGGCTCTAGCAAAAATACATTACAACTCCTTACCCTTCTGCATGTGAACTGATCAAATTCTGCTCTTTTCCTCCATTTCTTGATGCCCCAAAGGAACAGTCACCAGCTATCTCCAGGAAGGGATTTTGCTCTGTGCTCAGCTTGAAAGCTGCTCCTGTGTGCAGAGCAGAACCCCCATGGGGAGTTCATCTACCTAAAAGCAGAATTTATCCTGTAAACTGTGACAAAGACAGTAGGAGAGCCATGGGATGGCTTCATTCCCAACACAAGTAAATGTAGCAAGTATGAACATCCCAATGAAAATTCTGGGTTTGAAGAAAGGAAAATTTCTGAAAATTGCACTTTATTGGTCATTGGGAAACTGCCATGTGTTTAATTCCTAATTCAGAAATTCACAACCCTCACATCAGAAAAAAAATGAACTTGGAGAAGATAAGTTTAATTTCTTAAACAAAAAGAGGTATTGAGCTTATGTGACAAACTCGTTCTAAACAATATGAGCAATAAAACACCTTTACAATTCTTGACCACTTAAACATAAAAAGCACAGATTTTATTTTTCCTTTGCTTAATATATATTACTAGCTAAACAAATCATAGTTATCTCATAGTGACATATCATCAGCAAAGTACTTTAGGCAGGTTCTTAGCCTTTAGTCTTCACTCTGAGGCTTAAAATAAAACATTTATTTAAATACTGTTTAAAAACTTTGCTGAATAGACACAATTAAAATGTATGGTTAATGAGGATTTATCTGAGGCAGCTGGCTCGTATGGCATACCACTTACGTACCTACTCAGAACAAGAAAACACTGTAGTGTTTTTAGTGTGCTCTTTTTGATGGGTGAATATAGAGAAGTGACTTACTAGTATATGTTTTTTGATTAACTAGTAAGCTTTTTAAAAAATGAGAAGTCTAACCTGGAAAAAGTTCTTGTAGCATTAAGATGATCTTTCATAAACAAGATGCACTTTTATGTTGGATCTTTTGCATTTGCTGCTGCTAGGACAGATTTGTTCATGCCCCATGTGAAATGTTTTTCTCAGATGTTACAAGAACTTCCTGGTTTTCAAACAACCCTTTGTTTTCTGTGGCATCATGTGCTTCAGTCATGTTTGGTAGATGAGCTAAAGCTAGGGAACTATGGAAACTTTAGGATGAGAGAAGGGAGCATCCCACCAACAAAGCACATCTAATACCACTTTTTCCTCTCCACAGGGAAATCTCCCCATCTCGAAGGAAGTGAATCGCAAGAAAAGTGAGGCAGAGGGGGCACGCCTGGATCCAACAAGCGGCTATGGACAACATTTCAGCAAAATCAATTACCTCTACTCTTTTTAAACATAATTTCTCCATTCGTATTACATATGATGTATGGGTTTGATGAGGTCATGGTGTCATATATTGGAAATTGTTTCTGTGTAAATCATCAAATGTAAGAAGAAACTATGGGACTCTGAGCCTTGCTTTAGAGAATAACAGTGGACAAACGTGTACCATAAAAACTAGTTTTTAACATTCTAACTCAAGCGAAAGCTCTCAGAATTTCACACTGTGAATCCATGTTTACAAACATTACAGGTGGGCCCTCAGGCCTGGTTCTACCACAGCAATGTCTTTCACTACTCAAACTCCACAGCTCACACACAACCGGTAAACCACTCTCTCCATTTCCACCAACTCAAACTGCTTCTTGCAGAGGCTGAGAGTCCCCCTTTTTTTTCATTTAGATGTAACAAGCCTAGTAGTTTATTTTCATCGATTGTCTGTATATCTCTATATTTTATCCATGTACTCTTTTGATGTATAGAAGTAGTATGAAACTCATGGTTTCCTTGTGGTAAGTGATCGTGATGCTGCCACGGGATTTGAGACACTGATGAATGGTGCTATTTTGGACTTTAAATATGCTCCTTGG